AGGGACCAGACAAAGTGCAGCCCAAAGACCCCAATGATGAGAAACACAAATGGACCTAGTGTTCCCTTGCCCGGACGTGGGTCACCGGGGCCCCACTCTGGAGCCAGGCCTGGAGGTGGGGCACGCGGGCGAGCGCCTGGAGGCCGGGCTTTTACCCATGGAGCTCGGCTGGGCACAGCCCGAAGAGGAGACGTGGGTCCTCCTTCCCATGGGCTCACCACCTGTGGGAGGGGCCAAAGGGGTCGGGTGCAATGTGGGATGGGTGGTGGCCGAGGGCGGGGACCCTGGCGGTCTGATCCTCGGCTACAGAAGCTGGCTGTTGGGACGTGGAATGTCACCTCACTGGTGGGGAAGGAGCCTGAGCTGTGTGTGAGGCTGAGAGGTTCCGGCTAGAAATAGTCGGACTCACCTCTACGCATGGCTCGGGCTCTGGAACCAGTTTCCTTGAGAGGGGCTGGACACTCTTCCACTCTGGAGTTGCCCCTGGTGAGAGGCGCCGAGCAGGCGTGGGCGTACTTATTGCCCCCCAACTTGGTGCTTGTGTATTGGGGTTCACCCCGGTGAATGAGAGGGTGACCTCCCTCCGCCTACGTGTGGGAGGACGGGTTCTGACTGTCGTTTGTGCTTATGCACCAAACGGCAGTTCAGATTATCCACCCTTTCTGGAGTCCTTGGAGGGGGTACTGGAAAGTGCACCTTCTGGGGACTCCCTTGTTCTGCTGGGGGACTTCAATGCTCATGTGGGCAATGACAGTGAGACCTGGAGGGGTGTGGTTGGGAGGAACGCCCCCCCTGATCTGAACCAGAGTGGTGTTCTGTTGTTGGACTTCTGTGCTCGTCATGGATTGTCAATAACGAACACCTTGTTCAAGCATAAGGGTGTCCATATGTGCTCTTGGCACCAGGACACCCTAGGCCGCAGTTCGATGATCGACTTTGTCATCGTCTCATCTGATCTGCGGCCACATGTCTTGGACACTCGGGTGAAGAGAGGGGCGGAGCTGTCAACTGATCACTACCTGGTGGTGAGTTGGCTCCGATGGTGGGGGAGGATGCCGGTCAGACCTGGCAGACCCAAACGTATTGTGAGGGTTTGCTGGGAACATCTGGCAGAGTCTCCTGTGAAACGGAGTTTCAACTCCCACCTCCGGGAGAACTTTGAACATGTTCCGAGGGAGGAGCTCGATCATCCGGGAGGGACTCGGAGTAGAGCCGCTGCTTCTCCACGTCGAGAGGAGCCAGTTGAGGTGGCTTGGGCATCTGTTTAGGATGCCTTCTGGACGCCTCCTTGGTGAGGTGTTCCGGACACGTCCCACCGGAAGGAGGCCCAGAGGAAGACCCAGGACACGCTCGAGGGACCATGTTTCTCGGCTGGCCTGGGAACGCTTCGGGATTCCCCCGGAAGAGCTGGCCCAAGTGGCTGGGGAGAGGGAAGTCTGGGCCTCCCTACTTAGGCTGCTACCCCCGCGACCCGACCCCGGATAAGCGGAAGAAAATAGATGGATGGATGGATGGTGTATGTGTATATATATATATATATATATGTGTGTATGTGTATATATGTGTGTATGTGTATATATATATGTACGTGTATATATGTGTGTATGTGTATATATATATATATATATATAT